TGCCAACTGCACCATTTAGGGATGGAGGTGAGGCCCTCTGCATAGCAATACCTTACTGTTCGAACATGTGTGGAAGGAAAAAACCGTTTCAGCTAACTGGAATGAATCGATCATAATGGTAATGTAGAAGGGCAGTCGCACTGACTGTGCTAACCACAGGCTTATTAGCCTAACGTCCGTAGTGACAAAATTACTAGCCTCAATCCTTGTTCGTCACTTCACTGCGAAACGGGAAGAGCAGGCAGGTTTCCGCCCAGAACAGGGCTGTTTAGATGTCACGGTCTAGCTCAGTCCGCGCTATCCCGGTTGAGATGAACACGTCCTCTGCTAGCTACGAAACCAAGCAAGAAAATCAGAAGGCAAAGCTTCGAGGCAAAAGCGTGTTGCGGAACCAGCTACCCAAAAGGGTACAAGTAGTGTGAAATCAAGGGGTATTTCTAGCAGTCAACAAAACACCTAGGACAACTGTCCTGATTGGTAGATCAGTTCCGCCGCCCAATGGGAAGGTTGGTGCGCACGTTGTGTGGACGCGAACATTCCTGAAAGTACTTGATGTTTCGATGGTACACCATTGGCTCGGCTTATTTTCCCATCGAAATACTGAGTTTTCCAAGGAGAATTTCCTCTCCCTGCCAATATATCACATGTTCACTTTGCGGCAGGTGCTAGAGCAATGCCACGCATACCGCAGACCAACAATAGCTGTGTTCCTCGACTTCAAGAGTGCTTTCCGTTCAGTCGATATATGATTTCTGCTCGAAATATATGTGTGGAAAGGTGTTCCCATGAAATATGTGAACATTTTACGTTCTCTGTACTGGAACACGACAGAACGCTTCAGGGTCTACGGCAATTTATCGAATGTCTTTCCGACAACAGGTGGCGTTCGTCACGGTTGTCCGATTTCTTCATTTATTTTCAATTTCGTCGTGGATTGCACCATGGATCCTCACGATGCAGGCGTTGAGGCGCTGCCTGGTGAAAGGATAGTTCATCTTAATTATGCGGACGATATCGCCTTACTGTTTAAGGAAATTGGGGCGGCGCAATGTACCCTGAATAGCCTCTCAAAATTGGTCCCATTATTTGGCATACGTTTCATCCTTTCCAAGTGCAAAGCGTTGCTGCAGGACTACCAGCCAGTTGATGACCCCGTGACCCTAGACAGCGATGAACTCGAGGTAGCTGATCAATTCACTTACCTTGGCAGCTTTAACAGTAAAGATGGGCGTATAGCAAATAAGGTCAGTTCACATATTACAGAAGCCAGAACTGCATCTGGGGCATCTTTGGCGATAAAAGGTTTTCCTTCTGTCTGGAAGGCCGTGTCTACAAGGCCAAAGTGGGGCCCTTTTGCTCTATGGGAGTGAGACTTGGCCCCTTCGGTCTGAAGATCTGAGGCACCTTCAAGTCTTCGATCATCGCTGTCTGCGGGTGGCACCAGCGTGTCCGCAACTACGTAGTTCCTTACAACAACAGTTAGCACAGAGTAAGTTGCGTTGGCTTGGGCACGTACTACGTATACCCGAGTACTGCTTACCGAGAAGGGCCTTGTTTTGTCTGTCAGATGTAGAGTGGCGCAAGGCTTGCGGTGGAAAAAAGTTGACTTGGCAGCGGAAAATGAAGTCACTGACGACCAAACTGAGTGCCGTCGGTCCGTCGCGCCTTCCACGCTGGAGTCCACGTGACTCGCCATGTGCTTATCACGGGACTTTACAGGAGATCGCTCGTAGTCGATACTAGGGGCGTGTCTGCCGTTATCGCCTAGTCGAAGTGCCAGTGTAACGTGTGTTTGGTACTGAGTTATGCGCGAGGTAATGGCTGAGCATAACGCAGGGCAGCGAAAGCCGCAAGGAAGCTGTCTCGTTGATGCCACCTTTTCTTTGCACTATAGCCAGCTGTTTGCAATGGAATGTTGTTGATAAGGTGTAGGCCCCTAGACTCTGAATGTTTGCTTAGGCCATTAAGGTTTTCCGGTAAGCCTCTCTTCTCTCCCACTTATTATTCGTCGTTCCGTTGGTCGTTATGGTTTTATGGCAGCGAAGCATCAGTTCAAATGGTTGATGTACTGCTGTTGTCGATGATGATGACCACCACCGGGAGATCGCCCGCACCTATGTGGAATGCTGATAGCATAATGCTAAGATGGATTAATTACTGGACTCCGAAAAACGCCCAGGATGAATAGAAGCAGATGCTGAACGCGGGTAACAGCGACCTTCTTCAGCCAGACGTCAATCATAATCTCGACATTGGAAGCACAGCCTTTCAACAAACCAAGAATCAAATCGATAATATTGCCTTCAGCCACAGACAGAGCATGCCAGTGAGCTGACTGACAGCTCTCGATTACTACTATGATTGCGGAGAGTTAAGCAGAGTAGAAGAGAAAGGCAGTTTGAGATCTTCCTACTTTGATATACTAAAGACAAGGATCTGCAGGGAACTGCTTCCTGAGTTCAGTAGAACAAGAAAAGCGCGTCGAAACTACTCTATATCCCAATTCGGTTCAACTACGTGATTGACAATTTACGCTCAATGTCTTTCAGAAGGAACGTTCCGTTGGGTGACCTACTTACAGTAAGCAGACGACAGTCATACGGTTTATGCTGCAGAGTTAGAGTGCGCCGCACTCAAACGAGTGCTTAACAATATCAAAGGTGAACAATAGACAGGACTGGGTCGACGAGCCGGAAGTCTGAACTAATGCAACACAAACGGTAGGCAGTTGTAGCACCTTTGACGGTCGCATGCATGATGCCGCATGAAGTCCTCGAACACACCGATAAAGCCCGTGTAGCTATATAGCGCATTCATCATTTATGGAGACAGCAGTAGATCAGACATTCATCAGAAAGGACAAGGGATGCAACGCTAAGGCTAGCGCTATTATGCGAACCACTTCGTACTAACGACAGCCCGTATCCCTAAGGGTTACAAACCTGCCTTGTAGTCCGAGGGCGCGAGTTTGAGCCAGTGTAGGGGGAACGGGCGACCCTCGTAGTATCCTTAGCCCACGTGCGACCGGAGGTGGTTGTGCGGCAGCGAAGCATCGGTACTGCGTGCCGGCTTACTGTTGATGCCTTTCATAGTAACACCAATATGAAGCTGGTCGCAGTAGTTGGAGCTAAGGAATTCTCACATGATTGGGGCACCGAGTGAACAGCGGCAACAGACGGCACTGCAGTGTGTGTGTACTTTGAATCGATTACCGTGGCAGAGCTGTACGCTATCGGGCATGTCCCCAGGTTGCGGATCGGGAAATGCCTTCCTTGTGAAAGTAACTGCGAATAAGTCTCGTTTGCTTTGCAGACGAGATGAATAAGCTGTAGCGGACAATCAGCGGCAGCCTCTAAGAGCGTGGGGAGTTCCGAGTTGGTCACCTGGTTCCACATTAAATACCACAAGAGCTCGTACGGCGCTGTGTCAAAGCCAACTGACCGGCAACATGGTCACTGACCACTCCTGTACCTAAGGATGAGTATCTAACGGAGGGCGGATAAACAACTTCGCTAGTCACCGGCTTCTCTGTGGACTGCTTCCGAACACAAAGAAGGCGAATGAGCCACTTGGCTGTCAACGGTCTTCGTGAATCACCACGCTGCTTTACAAGTCAGGTTTTTAGACCAAAGGCACGGGGTGGGGTCCCTTAAGTCAACCTTCTTCCTCGACCTGGGCAACCGGGAAGCTCACTGCCCACACAACACATGGAACTTTGGGTTTCGGTGTGGCTCTCTCCTATCCCTGCTTCCATTCCTCTTACACTCGCCTTTTGGTCATTGTTACTCATGTGTTGTGGTACTATGCCAAATGGGCAAGTGTTTATATATATATATATATATATATATATATATATATATATATATATATATATATATATATATAAATGTAGGCGCATTGTCGCTGTGTTATATTTACCTCGGTGTGAATAGTTCGCCGTAGAGCAACTTACTTGGGTGTAACCGTGAGATGGATGACCTGGCAAAAAGCAAAAGGTCGACCGCTGATGCTGGCCACTTTCCTGGGTAGAAACTTTGAGATAGGCTAAATTAGTGGCTGGATGTCGTATCTGAACGCAGTGACATCGCTGGACCGATGGCATGTTTGCATTCCGTCTCGTGCAACTAGGTGACAGAGTGCGTGTACAATTTAAGTGAGTTGCCTTTGTCCCAAACCTCCTTTTCGTCGTTACACCTCGTGGTGACCCTTGATGAGGATAGTCAGTGCAAATATTTTGCACATTGGTCCATTTAGCCTATCAGATCAGCCAACATAAAGGGGCTAGTAACATTCGACCAACGGTGCCTCCGCAGTTTGGCTCATATCTGGCGGGAATACCGAGTGAACAATGAGCGTGTTCGACGCCTTGGTTATGGCGCATGAAAAATAAGCGAACCGCTCAGCACCATTTCAAGCTCTAGGTCTCGATAGTTGGGCACGTGTTGCGCATGCCAGCCCACTAACTCTCGCGATGCGTTGTTTGCGTGCCGGGTTGCGGATGAAAGAAGAGGATGGGTGGTCATGCGGTGAGTTGGTCAAGAGGAACGGAAGCTCTTACTTTAAGGTTGGCCTCGGTTGGAGCGTCTTGGCTCACCGGTTGGGGACCGAAGAACGATGAACACGTTTGACTGGATACAGTTGTTGACCTGGCTAGGAGCCGACCTCAATAGCGTTTGTGTGGTTTCTTTGTCCCCCTCCAATCACGATCTCATCTATCAGGCATAATATAACCTTACTGCGGCACAATATGGAGCTGTTAGCTCTCCGGAACGGTGTCTATCAATTACTGGTGATTCAGTCAGCGTGCCACTGTTGCATGTTTTTTTTCTTTTGGATTGCGGCACAATAGTTGAGGTGTTTTTCACCTGCAGCTAACGTGTACAGTTATGATGATGAAATACTAATGAGGAATTAGCAATGTAACGGTGTACAGTGGTGAAACTAAAGCAGTCCAAAAAGTCACAGATACAAGATGACTAAACAAGAGATCGGAAACGTACCTGCAAGAATCTAACTACCATAAGTATCAGAGCGTACGAACTGAGACCACCCGTCCACACTTCGTTCAGACTCCGCTGCAGCAGGAACTGCTTCAAAACAAACACCAGAGGGGGTAAACATGGGAAGGTTTTGATGTAAGCTTGTATAAGATCTGCTGCTCGTACGCTGTTCACCATGTTAAAGCTTATGTCAATCAGTATTCCTGTGTCTTTATCAGTCATTTTAACGATTGGAACCTGAAAAATTGATGACCGCAAGTGGACAAGGAATACCGTAGCTTTATCGAGCACTTTCAGGTCCGACGATATGCCACTTCGAGACAAAGCACGTTCAAGTGTATGTAAGGGTAGGGCATCCCATTTGCCAAAAATCACCATGTCGATGTCACTACAGAAAAATCACAATTATAAAACAAAACGAATTACCTTGTGGGCAAATACAAACCTGTTTTGAAGCTACCAAAAACATCGACCTGAATAATGAACGTTGAGATGAGCGGTAGCTAACTTTACAAGTTGGCCATACAGAAAGTACGACGTCTTTTATTCTAGAAACCACAAGTTCCCTGGCATGTTGCTCCTCGTAGGTCGGCTTAATATAATTAAAAAAATCTTTTATCTCATTCTGCAACCTTGAAAAGTTCAGGTCAAAAGAAGGTAAATATATGTATACCCGATAACGCCAAGCTCATATTCACGATCGGATGGTCTCCAAGGAGTGTCCTTCAAATGAAATCCTTGACCAACGGGAAATGAGGATAGCTTGTTACGAAACACCACAAACTGCTCCTCCCTTGGCGCTGCTCTGACTACGGCGTCTGCCATATCAAATAATGCGGAATGTTCTGCGCTCTCTGTAACGTGGGGTTCGAACGCGACGTGGGGCTAAAAAAAAGTCAGTGGACACGGAGTGAGCATTAACATTGGCAACATGATGAGCAACACAGTAAGCGAATGACATGATAAAAGGGAGAAAAAAATGAGACGCGCAATGTCTACTCCGGTCAAGCCCACAGTATATATATATATATATATATATATATATATATATATATATATATATATATATATATATATAATAGCAACCGTTTATGCAATGGATAATGGGCCTTTGAAAACCATGGGGAAGTGTGCAATAAAGAAAAAATTGCCAACCACTGTCCTCCGCACGGGCAATAACGTGCACGGCAGTGGAGGATGGGTCGGGTTATATCGCAGTTAAGTTTCAATTCGTAGTGGTCGGCTGTCGTTCCGCAAGGCTGTGGCATAAGCTGCTGACTAGTTGGCGTTAGCCTCTAGCAGTCATGGGTTCAATCCCCAGTAGGGGACCGATGAATGCGCACCACCGACGAGTCCTAATAGGGCGAAACGCGCGTCTGGTGCTTTTCCGGATTCTTAGCATACATATGCGGCTTGGAATCGAATTAAGAGGAAGCGACTTGAAGAATAAAAGTCGTTTGCTATTTTCAAGTGCCCTTATTTTTTGTCATTTCAATGACTATTGTTGCTCACTAGAATTAATGCGTAAATTCATATATAATATCACATGCAGCCCGATTCCACGTCATGTCCTTAAGGGTTTCCAGCCAGCGGTGTCGTTTATCCTTGGTTCCCCAGCATGGGAGCTATATGGGACCGACAACAACTAAACGAAGTCAACGCTTTGACGTTTTGTCGCCAGGTGGCAAAATGATGGCCGCGCGACATTTTCCAGTACGGCCTCCTGCGAGCGAATAGAGTGTATCGTGGTAGTCGCTTGTACGGCATACGTAGGACGTTACCAATCCATCGCAGTTGGCGCAGCGGCACTAGCCTGTCGAAAGGCCCATAATACCCAAGACGCGACATCAAGCATCGCTGTTGCGCATGTGGTGTTCCCACCATACACGAGTTATCTTCCGCAGACAACCGTTGTCAAAGGCCGAAATCTGAAGCGTGATTTATAAAAATCGGTCAAGACTCATTTCCGTAAAAGAGTATCGCGGGAGCAGACATTGTAGACCCTGCCCATTGCTGAGAGTGGAACGTCACGACGACGCTACAGATGCCTCAGATTAGCGAAAGCTGACTGGGCTTAGGAAACACGAATAAAAATATCCCTTCAAAGGGTGTCATTAGCAGAAACGCAACTCTACAGCTAGACGAAGCTATCCGCTTGTTCAGGCCTCATGCCGTCTTGAGGAGGCAATGAAAGGAAAAGAAAGAAAGGCAGCAGCAGCACTACGTCAGTACGCAGAACCGACGCTTAGCAGCCGCGCAACCACCACTAGTCGCAGATGGGCTAAGGATAGTACGAGAGTAGCCCCGCCCCTATGCAGGCTCGAACCCGTGCCGTCAGACTGCAAGATAAGCTCGTTACCTTGCAGCTACGGGCCGGCACAACATGCCCTGGAGGTAGGCTAGCACAAGACGAGGAGGCAACTTGTAGTCATATGTGACGAAGGTTCTAAAACCGTACTCGTCAAGTACAGGTCTCACTAGAGTTTCAGTCAAACGTTTGGAAAATCTTATTCGAAAATGAATTTGTGAGCATTTAGTTGATCACAACTCAATTGGAGCCTAGCAGTATGGTTTTTTAAGAAGAAAGTATGTCTCACTAATTTGTTGTGTTTCTTAGATTAAATAATTAGCTGTCTTAATCATGGAATTTCAGTTAGTCTGTTTGCACAACTAGCATGGCTTTGGACTCGGCTAACCACCGATTCTTACTAGCAAAACTGGAATGGTTTAGGTTGCATCCTACACTCTTGACATAGATTGCAGTTTCCTTGCGGTAGTAACTTTCGTGTTAGGGTCGGCGAAGCCAGACCAAGCATGGGCACTGCTCACAATGATGTTTCCCAAGGTTCTGTTTTAGAATAACTATTGCTTATCATGTTTATCAACGACTTGGCCCCTCTTCTCCATTACCCCCGTCATATTTTTGCTGATAATTTGAAGATGGTCAATAGGGCAATCGAGACATCACTAAGGACCTTCGCATTGTAGCGGATTGGTCAGTTATATGTTATATGCCCTTAAACGCCAGCAAATGCCAGTTACTGACTTCTCGAAATGAGGGGATTGCGGTGATTACGTCTGTCGGGCTTCTACACCTGAGACGTGCGGAGGAAGCATGAGACAGGCATCACTGTGACGAAGGACCGACAGCGCCATGTAAGCATACTGCCAATAAAGCAAGGTAGATCTATACAGCAATAGAGCCGAGGTTTATTTCCCCTTAAGCAAAGCGACGGTAAGACCTCATTCAGAATACTGCATACAGGCCTGAGCAACGTAATTCCGGAAAGATGCAACCTATATATATATATATATATATATATATATATATATATATATATATATGCGTGTGTAGAACAGATATTGTGCCATCAGAATCATGGCGGAAGAAAGTAAGATACGCATAGGAAAAAGGGCTGGCAGCAACCATTTCAGTAGTTTTTCACTCAGTTTTTGAAGTTTTAAATGTTCGTTTTATTGGGGAAGGGAAATCGCCGAAACACGCAGATATACATGTCCGCCATTGGACGAGACCAACTGTTTCGTTAGGTTTTTCCATGTTATAGGTTGTTCACCACGCCGTCTCCTCCAGTCCTGTCCAACAACTATAAACAAGGCCCGACACAGAAGACGACGAGTGGGTATGCGCAGTACGTGTCCAAGCCACAGCAGCTGACGCAACGCGACGAGCTCCTCAAGCGAGTGGCTGCCTCCATTCAAGACACGCTGCCTAACTTCTACATTGGTCACGTGGTGCAGCCACAACACACGGGCAATGGGCCGCAAACAACGGTGCTCAAAGACAGAGAGACGGCGCAGGTCAACGGTACGAGTAGGCCAAGGCTTGCAACCTGACAACAGTACAGCGCGGACAGTCGCACAAGAAACCCGCACTTTGATGGATAGACGGATGTCATCGCGGCGCCAAAATAGCCTCAGCCTAAATAAAGTGAAGCGAACTCTTGTGATACGCATCGATATCTTGTCTCCAACATCTCCACTGGCTGGGATACAATTTCTCAGATAGGCAAAATTCTCCGTAACCTCCAGTGTCTCACCATCAAGTAAGTGCAGGCACAGGCATCTGAAAGTCTTGAAAAGAACTTTGCACTTGAATGGGAAAAAGCCATTTCATACTTCGAAGCTTCAAACACCAAGCGGCTGTGTGCAAGTTGGACGGCCTGTGCACCCCCACCCAGCAAGATGATATCATCAGCGTAGTCCAAATCAACAACTAGGCTAATTGGGAGCAGTACAATGCCAGTGCTCAACGAATTACCCAGATCATTCTTTAAGACATCCCCAATGGCGAAATACAAAAAGAATGGGGAGATAGGGCATCCTTGTCAAACTCCACTGGTGACAACAAAGGAAGGCGAAAGCTCCCCATAAGCCCTAACTCTACCCGAGGTCAGACTGTACATGGCACGCAGTACGGAAATGAACTTCCAGTGGACACCATTCCTTAACAAACATTGCCATAATGCAGAACTGTCGACAGAATCGAAAGCAGCGCGGATATCCAGGAACACGACAATCGTTGGTTTTTGGTACACTTGGCGGAGCTCGAGGATCTGGCGGGGTGTGAAGATTTGATCGATGCAGCCGCGGCCAGGGCGGAACCCAGCCTGTTCTTCTCGCTGTAGTGATTCGCGCACTGGAAATAGCCTTCGAAATATGACAGACACCAGAACGACGGGAATCAAGCTAATACCGCTGTAAATGTAGCACATTGTGCGCAGGACCTTTTGAAGCTGGGGACGACTATCGAACCACCCAAAGGTGATGGAACCTCCTCTTTCAGCCAGACATCTGAGAACAGAGCAGTGTTCTCGAACCAACGAATAGACGCCATCTTTAAACAGAACGGGAGATAGGCCATCAGGTCCCGGTGCTTTATAGCGCTGCAGGAAGCGGAGTTCCTGGTGAGAAGAAAGATCCGTGGGGCCCGATTACTCAGCACCAGTGAGCGCTCCAGTGGAAGCAGATGGAGATGGTGGCCAGCAAAACTGCGAGTCAAAGTGTTCAGTCCATCGTTCCAACCGTCACTGAAGATTAGTGATTAGTGGGCCATCCTCTTTGCAGATCATTTCGTTTACTCCAGCTCGGAAAGCTTCGGTGGCTACGATAAGATGGAAAAGTTTTCTGGTATTACCAGTAAGACTAGCAAGTTCCATCTCTCTAGCCCGTTCACACCACCAGGTTTCACGGTCCTTTTGTAGACTCCTGCGCAATTCTCGATCTAAGGATCATCGTTCTTCATTACAGGCAAAATCAGCCGGGACCGAACGGCGTGTCCATCAGTGGTCAAGCTTTTCGTCAGGTGATGGGTGACTCCGCAACTATCAATGCTTGAAGAAATTAAAACATTTTTGATGCGCAGCCACTGTGAATTCAGATCAACAGCAGAGACTGGGGTAAGCAGTGTTGACAGGGAGGCCTGGTGTTTGGCTAACGTCGTAGGGTATTGTAGGATTTCTACGCTCGGACGGTAGTGCGCACACCTAAACGGTCCTCCGAAACACATGCATAACTTAGCGCGAAGCAAGGCGTGATCGGAGTCCAGACAAGTTGAGCAGTGCGGACGGTAGTCTGATAGGCTTCCGCGCCATCTGTAGCTTATCGCGATGTGGTTAAGTTGGGACCACTCTTGCCTTTGAGAAGGCGGGCGCCAGGTAGCAGTCTGTCTCTTCGAGGGTCGAAAAATGATGACTGACAGAAACAAGCGATGATCAGAACAGAGAGTCAGCAGTCTGTCTCCATTGTCTGATCGAATGCTACCGAAGCCAAAACTACCCCCAAGATGGTGCTCGCTTGGTGTCAGG